ACAAACCTATTGAACTTGACATCTAAACAAGACTTTGTTTTCTGAAGCCTCTGTGAGAATGGCGAACTGCATTGCTCCAAGGATTGTGGTAAATATGACCATTTATGTATTTTCTAACTCTGCTATATTTGGGCTATAAAATTAGTTCCACTGCTATAATTTGTTTTGATGTTCTACATGGTGGCATTAACCATACATTTGTGGCAAATGTTGAAATATCAGTGGAACACTATTGTTTGAATCAGGATGCAGAAATGGGAAGGTCTGTGTACACTGCTCGGAATACCCGGTTAACACGGCTCAGAAAACCTGTGACAGTCTTGGCAAACCATTGGTAGGTCAATTTTGTTCCAAGTCTTACTAAATGATTTTTCTCATGGGCTATTTCATTAAGGTAAATTTCTGACAACAGCTGCCACTTGGTTACATAATGTAAACTTTGGCATTTAAATGCAGCTGTAACTCTCAGCTCTACAGAAGAGTTATCAAAACAAGAAACTACTTTGACAAAGCAAAGATTTATTTTTGGCCTTTTCAGGGTGCCAGCATGACCTGTGAGAGTGGCTGTTACTGCCCACATGACCAGTATGAGGACCACCATGGAAACTGTGTTTCTCTGGACAACTGCACATGTGTGTACAGTGGCCAAGTGTTCAGCACAGGACAACATGTCAAAACCGACTGTAAAACCTGGTAAACATCTGCATTAGTTTTGCTTTACAACTTGTTCTCTTAAGAAATCTTCCAAAAGCTACAAGAGTAAAGTTTACTTCACAGCATCTGTGGTCGGGGTCAGTGGCACTGTAAAGAGAAACCGTGTCCTGGAAAGTGCCAAGTATATGGAAATGGACATTACCAGACCTTTGACTCTAAATGGTATCGCTTTGATGGACACTGCCAATACACACTTGTGGAGGTGAGCTTAAAGATGGGGAAACTCCAGTTATTCATTCACATGATTTTGTGGTACAAAAGCAGCTGGCATGGGGGTAGACTTGGCTCTACCCCCACTTAGCTCTGGTCTGTGTCAGAGCTATAACATAGCTGATCATGGAACTTGGCTGGTGAATCTTTTGAATTAAAAAAAACAAACAAACTTTTGTTCATATGGTAGTTATGCAAGTCAAGGCATTATTCTAGTTGGTGGTGGCTTTAGCTACTAAAACATCTGTGGCTTGGTTGACTTGGTATTCAACCAGCTGCCATAGCTCTAAACATAATAGACCAGTCTCAATCAACTACTGAAGAGCCCAAATCTCTTCACACTGTTCTTAAGCCTCAATCCTGTTTAAGATGGTGTTAGTGCTTTGTAGAATCTAGTTTGGGAATATTTAATCTGTCAGACGGCAAAGAGGCCCTACATTCTTGCTTTTTATGACACTGATTGCATAGTTGCATTCATCTGAGTTACATTTCCTTACTCTGGTGTTGTAGCCATTCATCCAACATGTCTACGCTTTAGATTTGGCACTTGACAATATTGGCAGACATTTTTATTTGTATAACTCATTGTACAGAGGTAAGTCAGAGTGGCTTACTTTGGCAGGAGAAATTTTACAACAAAGCATTAAAATGAAATCACTTGAGACATTTTATTTTGCATACCTTAATGCTGCCACTTTTACTTCAGGATTACTGTCGAAATAAAGATGGCTTCTTCTCTGTCAGAGTAGAAGGCATACCATGTTGTGATGAGGCACTAATATGCTCTCGTGCCATTGTGCTCGACCTGCAGGTGGGTGACTTCCTCCAGATTTATCAACTATGTTGTTCAGTTTTTTTAATGATGTAAAGTACAGCAGTTCTCAGTTTACTGAACTTGATGAGCCATAAATGGTGAAGGACTACAAATATCACTACAATAAATTGTTCATTAAATGTCTTGGCCCATCCAGGGTAAAGTCACTCTGACATTGAATGACATGAGGGTGACAAGACGTGTCCATGAAAGCTGGAGTCTGCAAGATGACTTGCTTTACACCACACATACCGTGGGGCTCTACATTGTGATCTCGGTGCCAAGCAGAGGGATAACTCTCATCTGGGACAAACAGACCCGGGTTACCATAGAGCTGCAGCCAAACTGGAGGGTGAGTAATTGGGATGTTGAGACCCTTGAATACAGCTTATTCCTCATTCTACTAGGGCTTTTCTAAATGGCAATTTTGAGGCTTCACTAGCAATTGTGCAGCGAATATTCACCAGGAGGGGTGAAGGCTTACATTCTCAGCTGAGATTGTGCTAATGAATGTTCATATTAGATGACTCTGCCTTATGCCTATGATTACAGAATGCACTACAATTTCAATCACTGATTTGAGATCAACTGAGTTGTACCAGTAAAGACATCCCACTCTGGAGTTCTTGGAACTACAGAGAAGCACTCAAATTATTCAGTTGTGTTGAGTGCTTTGGCCAACAGCATACAGTGGCTTGGCTTTTATTTTCTTTTTAAATTTTCCCCCTCTGCAGTGAGATGAAACCTAACGCGTTTTAATTTTGTCCTGCTATCAATGTTTTTCACTGGAAACTGACAATAAGCAGAAGCTGCTCCCTTAGTGCTTTCTCTGCATGTGGGTTAGCCAACTAATTTCACACCCTGGATCTGCTGGTTCTCTAAAAATCTTGTGGGACTTATGGTCCATAATGTCCAGCTTGCTCAGGAGCAGCTTTGTTCTCTACAGAAACTGCACTAGTAAAGTCTTCTAGCCTCGGACAAAGCACTTGTCCTTTTTAGATCTCCGTGCTACTTTGACACCTGATTATAGACTTGAGCATGTTTGGCTTAAAGGAACTGCACTAAGTGGGTTCAAGTATTATCAGAGATTCCAATTTGTTCTGCTCGACTACTGCCCCCGCGACCTGGTCTCGGGGTAAAGTGGACAAAGATGGATGGACAAACAAAATAAAACTGAATTTGAGGCAAAACTAGGAAGAAAGCTGGTAGTAGAACAAAGAATGCAGTGAGGTTTGCAGGACATTCTTCTACTTGGCCTATAATGCAAAGAATATCTCAAGTTAGAAGAATATGAATGCACAACTTGATCTAGACATCTCAGTCTTGCTGGCATGTCATGATGCCAAAGCAGGCTGCATGGCAACATGAAGCATTTAAGTGGAATGGTTCTGCATTACTGGAAGAAACTTAGGAAAAAAATCAACTGGACTTGGATGTCTAGGTCGAACCTAGTAGAAATCTAGTTCAGTTCTTAAACCCCCCCCAAAAGTTTACTATGACCTGGATGACTGAGAATCTGCACAGGCAGGTTCTGCATTACGTTTGTCAGCCACTTCTCTACAAGTGCAGGTCGAAGAACCAGCACATCTAGAAAACCAGGGTTGCTTATCTGAGCAATGTAAAAGATCCCTGAAAGATTTCCACACTAAGCTAACACACTAACAAGACTGCAGGTGTTGCTCGTACAGAGATTACATTGAAATTTCCAGTTGTCTTGAATACTGAAATTAAACTGATTACCTACCCAACAAAGGAATCTTTGGGTGCAGCCCTACCTTTTTACTGAAAACTGCTTAAGGTTAATTTCAGAATGCAGATTAGCTTTTCATCATGCCTTTAATCCTTAATTTCTTTCTTGTAGAACCGTGTGTGTGGCCTCTGTGGGAATTTTGACTCCAGTGAAATGAATGATCTCCAGATAAGCGGCTCAGCAGGTAAATCGGTTTACTTATTGCTCTATGATGCAGTACAACCATAGGTGTAATGTTTTCCGAGGAAAGGGAATAAGCCTGCTGGCAAATCTTAAATTCATAGCATTATGTGACGTGTCTAATTCATATTATTCTGCCATAACTTGAGTAATTGGTTACCGCTGTAGAAAAAGTTTACATGGCCCTTGAAACAAGATGCAGCTGAACCATGCATGTCATAGGTGCACTCGATATTGAATCAAATGGCACTACACCCCTGAGTACAGCTTAGTCATGCTACTCAAAATGACCCAAAACATTGGTTTTTAGTGGTGTCCAGTCCCCTGGCCTTTGGGAACAGCTGGAAGGTCACTGCTCCTCCTTGTTCTGATGTGACTATTGAGATGTTTCCATGTGAACGCAACTCCTACTGCTCAGCCTGGGCCCAGCAGCGCTGTATGATCATTACAGGAGACACCTTCCAAAACTGCCACTTAAAAGTATGTATTTAACGCCACAGTCTGGATACTAGTCAAGACAACATACAAAAGTGGAACAGAAAAGGGTGCAGTGTACAAGCAATGTTACTGAGCCAGTGTTAAGCTCTTGCAGTTGACACTGTTATATTTTTGATCCTCAGGTGGACCCAGAACCCTACTACCATGCCTGTGTCCAGGAGTCCTGTGCTTGTGAATTTGAAGGGAAGTTCTTGGGCTTCTGCACAGCTGTGGCAGCCTATGCAGAGGCCTGCAGTGATGAGGATGTGTGTGTTAACTGGAGAACACCTGATCTATGCCGTACGTTGAGACTGCCTTTTTCTCCCCATAACATCAGGTTTACTTGCCTCTTAAAGCTGCCTTTTTGGTAGTTGGCAGAACAGCAAAATGACAGATGGCACATGTTGGGAGGTATTTGAGGGGGCTGCGTCTATGCTGAAGAGGCTGCATCTTGAATTTCTTTATTGCTAAAGACAAATGACATGCCCTAGTTTAAAGTTTTCATACACTGGCCTTTTTTATTAAAGGCACACATGTACAATTGTATACACTTCAATGCAACACTTCTGCCTTAACATCTGTTTATGAACCTTGGTGTTTCAGGTTTTGTGGCATTGTCAAATGTGTGTGTGTGTGTGTGTGTATTTTGAGGTTGGTTAAAGTTGCTGTACTAGACTACTTCCAGGTGTTTGTAATACTGTCATGTATGTAGCAGAAGAGGTATAAATAGTCAATGTTTTGAGTACACCATCTTTTAACAAAGACCCCAAATGTCTAACTTGTAAGT